GATGTAATTAATAAGGGGAAATAATGGTTGTGTTTTGCTTCATTTGATTCAGCTGCGCTGCTGTGTGCTCCGCGTTGCTGCTCCCCGTATTTGTCACTTGGCACGCATCCCAGACACACTCGTATGCACGACACGCCCACAACTGTTTGCGTGGACGCATTTTTGTGTGTAATTGCATGAACACAGGAGCCATTCGTTGCAGCTTCTTGTTTTTTGTTTTTTGTGTTTTTACTTTCTTTTTTGTTTTTTCTTTTTTTCTCTACTGTTGTTGTTGTTACTTGTTTTTTGTGTTTATTTCCCTTGTTTTTTTTGCTTCCTTCTGGGCTTTGTGAGTTTTTTTCATCTTTTAATGGTTTATTTTCTTAACTTTTTCTTTTTTTGTTTCCTAATCTTTTACTCATCCGCCATCCCTCTTTTTTTGCTTTGGGGGCAATCACTATGGACGTTCTTCTCTTTTCTACTCTTCCCTCTTTAATTGTTTGTTGCTGCATTCTTCCTGCGAGGGGTGCCGTGTGTTTCTGCCCAACTGCTCCACTCGCACACCCACCGACACGCTCACGACGACGGCCCTGTGCGCCTCGCCTGCTGCACGCATGAGGAGGGGCCGCGACGAACGGCGCGCTGAGGGAGCCGTGACGTGTGGGCGTGCGACGAGGGCCTGTGGGGCGGAGCACACATTTCTTCCCTCTTGTTTTGTTTCTTTGCGGCCAGGGCGGGCAGACACCCGCAGCGCCACACACACAGCCACACCCTGCCGCCGTGTTTTTCTTTAAGGATTTGTTTTGCTTCTCGTGTTTATTTCATGCGGTGGCGCACCCTTCGGTGTCGGCCTCGTGAGCATTTCTCTCCCCTCCGATGATTTCTTTTCTTTTGCTGCGCTCACTCTCCCGATAGAGTGACGCGACTGCCGTCGTGTCTGCGTGCTTCTCTCAGTCCCCACACACACGAGTGACTGTGCTCTGCGGGCCGCACTCACGCGCCGATGGGAGGGCTGAGGGGAGCAGCAACACGCAGATGACCCCGTGAAATATAAACGATGTGC